GGGATCGATGTGCATGAGCTGTTTGTATATCTTGGAGATTAATCCCTTGTTGCTTCATTTGCAAATATTTTCTCACATTCTGTGGGTTGTCTTTTCATTTTATTGTTTCCTTTGCTGTGCAAAAGCTTTTCAGTTTCATTAGGTCCCATTTGTTTATTTTTGTTTTTATTTTCATTACTTTAGGAGGTGGATCAGAAAAGATATTGCTGTGATTTATGTCAGAGAATGCTCTGTCTAAGAGTTTTATAGTATCTGGTCTTATATTTAGGTGCTTAATCCATTTTGAGTTTATTTTTGTGTACGGTGTTAGAGAGTGTTCTAATTTCATTCTTTTACATGTAGCTGTGCAGTTTTCCCAGCACCACTTATTGAAGAGACTGTCTTTTCTCCATTGTATATTCTTGCCTTCTTTGTCATAGATTAGTTGACCATAGGTGCATGAGTTTATTTCTGGGCTTTCTATCCTGTTCCATTAATCTGTATTTCTGTTTTTGTGCCAGTACCAAACTGTAGCTTTGTGGTATAGTCTGAAGTCAGGGAGCCTGATTCCTTCAGCTCTGTTTTTCTTTCTCAGGATTGCTTTGGCTATTCGGGGTCTTTTGTGTTTCCATACAAATTGTAAAATTTTTTGTTCTAGTTCTGTGAAAAATGCCATTGGTAATTTGATAGGTATTGCATTGAATCTGTACATTACCTTGGGTGGTATATTCATTTTAACAATATTGATTCCTCCAATCCAAGAACATGGTATATCTCTCCATCTATTTGTGTCATCTTTGATTTCTTTCATCAGCATCTTATTGTTGTCTGAGTACAGGTGTTTTGCCTCCTTAGGTATGTTTATTGCCAGGTATTTTATTCTTTTTGATGCGACAGCAAATGGGATTGTTTCCTTAATTTCTCTCTCTGATCTCTCATTGTTTGTTAATGTATAGGAATGCAAGAGATTTCTGTGTATTAATTTTGTATCTGCAACTTTATCAAACTCATTGATGAATTCTAGTAGTTTTCTGGTAATGTCTTTAGGATTTTCTATGTATAGTATCATGTCACCTGCAAATAGTGACAGTTTTACTTCTTCTTTTCTGATTTGGATTCCTTTTATTTCTTTCTCTTCTTTGATTGCTGTGGCTAAAACTTCCAAAACTATGTTGAATAAAGGTGTCAAGAGTGGACATCCTTGTCTTGTTCTGATCTTAGAGGAAATGCTTTCAGTTTTTCACCATTGAGAATGATGTTAGCTCTGGGTTTGTCATATATGGCCTTTAAAATTAGCTTGTCTAATTTTACAAAGATGTCTGCTAGAATGACTGAGAGTGCATTAAATCTATAGGTTAATTTGGCCATCTTAGCAATATTGACTTCCACTTCATGAGCATGGACGTGTCTTTCCTTTTATTATTTTTTTCTCAGTCAAGCTGTATAGTTGTGAGTGTAAAAAACTTGATTGTCTTATTTTTAGGTATTTGTTTGATTGGCATTACTGTAAATGGAATTTATTTTATTTTCCAATTGTTTGCTGCTATCATGCAAGAATATTTTTTAATATTAACCTTTTAAACTTGCAACTTTGCTAAATTTGTTTATTAGTTCTTGTTACATAAATTCCTTGAGATTTTCTGTGTAAAACTAAAAATCATATCATCTGCAAATACTGCAGGTCACAAACTGTATCTCACTGTTCCAGGTCCTCTTGTAGTAGTAGTGGTAGCAGCAGCAGCAGTAATAGCTTGTTTAAGACTTATTTTGAATCATATATTGCACACTAGCACTTTACAACCATTAGCCTCTTTGACCCAGCTAGGCTGTGTTTTTTAGATGCCTAAAACGAAGATTAACCAAGGCCGCTCAAATAAGTGGCAAAGCTATTGTTTATTCTGGCCATCTCTGCCATAGGTAGGACTTGGTGTTCCTGAACACATATAATGTAGTTCCTTCCTACAGATTAAGATGGACCAGCATTTCACTATCACTCACTTTGTCTAGCAACAAACCAGAGTCCCTCACTCTTCCAGTGGGTGCTGGGAAGTAAGTCAAAGATTTAATTTTAACCTTGGGCTTCTTGTAAGGTTCTCCATTGTGAAACTTGGATCTGATGAATAAAGCCAATCTTAGCAAATTAGTAAGGTAGAAATTGTCACATTCCTTTCTGAATGTGTTTAGGTACTATTGCCCAAGGTTCCTACTAAAACATAAAAGGCTAATTTAAATCCCTGAGGAAATATCCTCATTACCAGTCAACTACTGATATAAGTCAGTTGCTCAAGGTACTTCCTATGTTACAAGACCAATCCCATAAATTAGACTTTATTTTTTTTAGAAGCCTTGAGTCATGTTTGACATATAGGGGTGCATTTCAAAGGTAAATATGTAAAACCATCTCAGCTGAAAGAGAAACAAGTTGTTGACTCTTCCTCAGGGGAAAAGAATTACAAAAGAAAGCATAGAATAGACGACCTGCCTTTAGCAGGGATCACTGCTAGGATAAGACAATATATATGTATTGATTCAACAAACATTTATTGAGCACCTACTATGTGCCAAGTACTAGTCTGGACATTGGGGATACAGCTCTAAAGAGCACAGATGGATACCATCACCTCTTTTCAAGGGCTTCACACCTGCCATTGTCACCTTTCCCTTCCTACATCAGTTTTACCCTCTATACAGTATTATTCCTGTCTGCGTAAATACATGTAATAGCCCCCATATTAGGGGGAAAACTCCTTTGACCTGAAACCCCCTCTAGTTGCCTCCGCATTTCTCTGTACCCCTTTATAGAAAATTTACTCAGAAGAGTGTCTAAACTCACTATCTCCACTTCTTTTTCTCATTCTCTTTGAACTCACTCCAGTCACGCTATTGTACCCACCACTCCTCTGAGATTGCTCTTGTCAGTGTCTCATTAAATTCCATGTTTGCAAATCTAATGGCCAGTTCATAGTCCTCATCTTTCTTGTCTTCTCAGTAGTAGATGACAGTTAACTTCTTTTCCCCCTTGAAAAGCTTTCCTCACTTGGCATCCAGGACACCAGCCCCTCTGTTGGTTTCCCTCCTGCCTCACTTGCTGCTCCTTCTCAGCCTCTTTCTTCAATCCTCGAAATTATGGAGGACTTTTACTAAAACAGAAGAGGAAATGGACATTAGGGAGCAACTGGCTGTCTCTGCCACACTCTGTGAATCTTGTTCTTCCCGCAGTTCCCCAATCTTCCAGCTGCTTAGGCCAAAATATCTTGGGTCATCCATGACTCTTTTTCTCTCCTACTCCACATCCAGTCTACCAGCAAACCCTGCTGATTATATTGATACTTTCAAAATATACTCTGAATCTGATAGCTTCTGATCACCTCCACCACTTTCATCTTAGTGTAGGCTATCGTCACCTCTCCTAGACTTCTGAAATAGTCTGCTTACTGGTCTCTCTGGTCTTGCCAGTCCATTCTCCACATAGTAACATATAATCCTTCAAAAAATAAGTCACATTATGTCACTCCTGTGTGCAGAACTCTCTGGTTACCTCCTAGCTGAATAAAAAGCCAAGGAGCCTACTATTAAAAGGCCATATATTATTTGGTCCTGGCTAACTCTGATTAAATCTGCTATTCTCTCCCTCACTCATTCCCCTCCAGCTCTGCTGGCTTCCTTGATGTTCCTTGAATATACCAAGCATGAACCAATTTTAGGGCCTTTGTATCTACTATTCCTTCTACCTTGAATGCTCTTCACCTAGATATCCCCATGGCTTGTTCCTTAACTCCCTTCAGGTCTTTGATCAACTATCACATTATCAAAGAGACCTTTCCTAACAACCTTTCTAAAATAGGATTCCCGCTTGTAAATCTTTTTCCCTTTATATAGCTCTTTTTCTTCTTAACACTCAACATCATTTGACCTATTATCTGATATTCTTTGTGTGTGTGCATGCTCATATACTTTAAACATTTATATGTACATATATGAATTTGATTATTGAATGTCTTCCCTACTAGAATGAGAGTACTTGGTCTGTTTTGTTCACTGCTGTCTTTCCTATTAGTTAAGCGTGGTCAAGATAGAGTTCTCTGAGGGGAGAAATGTAATGGTACTTCCCCTTTCTTTTAAAGAAACTTCCTAAAAATTCTAGACAACTCTTCTGCTTATATCTCATTGGCCAGTATTTAGATTATGGCCACAGCTAGCTGCAGGGGAGGTTCGGAAGTATAGTGCAAAGCCCTATGGTAGAAATAAGCTTGCCATGTTTAGGGGATTTGTCCTATGTTTGGGGACAAAAAGAAGCTGAATATGGCTGGAATACAGCATATTATGGAGAGACTGGAACAAGACAAGTTGAGAGAGAGAGAGGCAGGGCAGATCATCACGTAGGGTTTCGCACATCCCAGATGCAAAAAAAAAAAGTTGCTGGACTCTCTGGCACCTCAACCATTCTCCAACCTTTGGGAAATCCTAGGGCTACACTGCCAAAGGCTACTTAGCAGCCACATGCAGCTATTTAAATTAAGTTAACTAACTGAAAGAAAATTTAAAATTTCAGTTTCCCATCACACCAGACACATTGCATGTGTTCAATAGTCACACGTGGCCAATGGCTGCCTACTGGGCAGCACAGGTCATGCCAGACAGCATATGCCATTGTCACAGAAAGTTCTGTTAGTGCTGCTCTAGGAAAGCCAGTCAAAGGAGAAATAATGCCAAGTCTGCTTAGTCTCTTCTCTGTGATTTTTCTCTATTAACCCTAGAATCAGTGTTTTTCTGTTTAAATAGAAATAATATATGTGGTGCCTAGAGATTAGCATGTGGCCTGTTCCATATGCAAATGTTCTTGTGGATGATTTTTACCTATGACAGAAAAGATGAGAAAGACTGGTAAATTGCAAGCATTCTTAACCTCATTATGAATACATTGCAAATGTAAAATCGCAAAGCATGGAAGTCAGTCATAAGTGTGAAAGTGGCTTTCAATTTGTTTTAATAGGTGTTTTCTATGTCTTATTGTAACCTAGGGATCTTGCTGCAAGAAACTGTCTGGTAGGTGAAAATAATGTTCTGAAAATCAGTGACTTTGGAATGTCTCGTCAAGAGGATGGTGGAGTGTATTCATCTTCTGGCTTAAAGCAGATTCCCATTAAATGGACGGCACCAGAGGCTCTTAATTATGGTAAGAATAGACTTTTTTTTCTTTTTGGTGGTAAAAATGGACTCCATTAGCACAAAACATTCACAAGCAAAGTTACAGGGGTAGAGCAGAGCTCCAGTTAGAATCATCTGAGGAGCAACGAAAAAGGATGTGTGAGTGTTCAGACTTTGCACTTGAACATGAGCACAAACTTAATTCATTGATCTTATTAATCAGATTTTTGTATGGAAGATTGCTAGATTTAAAAGATGGATAATACTTACAAGCATTGTTAAGTATGACTGTACCTCTGAAAGTTTTTATTGTTATCCAAAAAAAGATTATTTCTATCTTAATAGTCAAATTATACCCAGAGTAAAAATGTTGCTGTGGCTCTGCACTATTTCTTTTGAATGTCTTATAATTGGTCCAATAACCTCATCTAATGTTAGGTTCCTAAGTATTAAGTCAGTCAATGCTGTAGTTTCTCACTCTGAAAACTGACATGGTTTCTTAGCATCTCAGTCTCTGGAACTTGTATAAATCTTGTGGGAAGAGAGAGATGGGAGTTACATTTTAAAACAGCAGGGATTTTTTTCACTTTAATTTTTATGTATCATTGTGATTGGAAGTAAATACAGCTTGTATTGTCTATGGTTGGGATGAAATGGGCCATAGCAAGATGGGGAAGAGCTCAAGAATTTTTTTTTTTAAATGTGCTTTTAAGTGAAATTAAAAATTACATTTTCATTAAGGGAAGCAACATATGAGCCATGAGTTGGTGAATGGGTATAGTATGTGGGTATAGTATGTTTTGAACAAAAATATCATAAAGTGGAGGGAAGCATCATGCAATGTCCCTGTGTCCTCAGTCCTGCTCCTAGAAGTGGAGATGCACAAGAGGCAGGCAAGGGCATGCAGCTTGTGAATTTCCGTGCCAGCTGGAACCATGCGTGTGTGGCCACTGCCCCTCATCATGGTCCCTGCCTTGCTCCAGCTTGTAACAAAGCATTCATCAGAAAATATTTAGTAAGTGCCACCTCCACGTGGCCAGGGCACCAAGCCTCACCTCAGCCTCCTACTTCTGCCTCCTTATGGCTGGACCTAGACCAGGTGTGGGAGGGAAGAAGCTGAGGTTTGTGACATGAAAGCATATTAGAGAGATTGAAGACAAGATGGCAGAGTAGAATAGGACTTGAGCTCACCTCCTGTTATGAAAACACCAAAATCATAACTGCTGAACAACCATCAGCAAAAAAAGACTGGAACCTACCAAAAAAGATATTCTACATCCAAAGACAAAGAAGAAGCCACAATGAGACGAGGGACAAGATCCAGCTCCACCCACCAGTGGGAAGGCACCAGGAAGCCTGCACAAGCCCTTGGACTCACCTCACCCACCAGGGGTCAGACATCAGAAGCAAGAAGAACTACAATCCTGCAGCCTGCAGAACAGAGCCCACAAACACAGAAAGTTGGAAAAAATGAGACAGCAGAGAAATATGTTCCAGATGAAGGAACAAGATAAAACCCCAGAACAACTAAGTGAGGAGGAGATAGGCAATCTGCCTGAAAAAGATGATCCAAGATCTCAGAAAAAGAATTGGAGGCACAGACCAAGAAGATACAAACAACGTTTAATGAAGAGCTAGAAGATTTAAAGAACAGACAGAGATGAACAATATAATAACTAACTGAAGTAAAATATATACTAGAAGGAATCAGTAGCAGAATAAATGAGGCAGAAGAACGAATAGGTCAGCTGGAAGACAGATTGGTGGAAATCACTGCCACAAAACAGAATAAAGGAAAAAGAATGAAAAGAGATGAGGATAAACCAAGAGATCTCTAGGACGAGATTAAACGCACCAACATTCACATTATAGGGGTTGCAGAAGGAGATAAGAGCAAGGGCCTGAGAAAATATTTGAAGAGATAATAGCCAGAGACTTCCCTAACATGGGAAAGGAAACAATCACTCAAGTCCAGGAAGCACAAAAAATCCCATACAGGGTAAACCTGAGGAGGACCATGCCAAGGCACATATTAATCAAATTAACAAAAATTAAAGACAAAGAGAAAATGTTAACAATTTATTGACAGGAGACGTATTAATATGTCTCTTGTTACCCGAACATTATTGACCAGAGATGTATCAATACGTTTTTAGAGAGTTATACAATTAATATCCACTTGCAAAGTTGTTAGAGCTTAAATTTATCAACAGTTCATTAGACAACTTATGATGTCATTGTCATTCACATTTTCCTCTGTTAGGTTTTTGTTCCAACCTTGTGTATATTATAAACTCAAGTTTATTACCGTAAAATTTTCAAAAATGACACATCGCTAAATTCTGAGTGAAGAAGAATTTTTTCGGTGAATTTTATGCAGATACTTTCTCTGATTGAGCAACATATATACTAGTGTCTCAGAAGATGATAGTTCTTCAGAATATAGTTCTGATTCACACAATGTGAATATTTATTAGACCAACAAAAAGACAAAAAACCTTAGTGATTGATTCTGATACGGAAAGTGAAAATGAAACTCATGGTGCTGGAGAATGTTCCTTTGCTTCTACAGAAGAGTGGATTGAAGACAACATTTCATGAGAATTAAAAGATTTTACAGGTGTGTCAGGTGTAACTGCTGACTGTAATAACCCACAAAGTGTTAGTGAAATAACAGTTTTTGGTAATGACTTTTTTGAGTTGGTCACTTCTCAAACTTGTATCACCAGCAGAATGAAAAATCATAAAAACTATGATAAGGATTTAAAATGGACTGATGTAACCAGTAGTGACATGAAGAAGTTTCTTGGATTAATAATTTTGATGGGACAAATAAGAAAGTCACAATGGAAAGAATATCGGTCGACTGATCCCTTACTTGAAACACCTGTCTTTCCAAAGATTATGACAAGAAGAAGGTTCAGACAAATAATGATATTTCTTCACTTTAACCATAACTCAGAAACTGCACTTCCTGCAGACAGAACTTCAAAAGCTAACCCTCTTTTGTATTTCTACCAAAATTTCAATTGATCTATATACCCAAACAAGAGCTGTCACTTGAGGAGGCAATGATAGAGTGGAGAGGACGACTCAGATTCAAAACCTGTATTCCCAGAAAACTTACAAAATATGGAATTTTGGTCAGAATGGTTACCGCAAATGAAACGATACCTTGAGATTTACATGGGTGAAGGAAAGAAACTGCAAGAAACAATATTATCAGTCCTACAACCTTATCCTGGTTCATGGCACCATATTTACAAAGACAATTATTACAACAGTGTGTCCACATCTGAAATACTGTTGAAAAATAAAACCAGAGTTTGTGGGACTATAAGAGAGAATCATGGTCTACCAAACCAATTAAAGAAGAAATCTAAAAATCTACAGAGGGGAGAAATGACATTCTTATGGAAGGGAGAAGTGATCTTCTTATATGGAAAGACAAGAGGCTAGTCTGCATGGTGACAACTCTTCATGATGCCTCCATAGCATCTACAGGAAAGGAAGACAGGAGGACTGGCCATCAGATAACTAAACCCACTTGTATATTAGAGTATAATAAATATATGAAAGGAGTTGATCGATCTGATCAATATCTGGCAAACTTCAATATCCTCTGGAAGACTCAAAACTGGTATAAGAAAGTGGGTTTCGGGCTTCCCTGGTGGCGCAGTGCTTGAGAGTCCGCCTGCCGATGCGGGGGGCGCGGGTTCGTGCCCCGTTTCGGGAGGATCCCACGTGCCGCGGAGCGGCTGGGCCCGTGAGCCATGGCCGCTGGGCCTGCGCGTCCGGAGCCTGTGCTCCGCAAGTGGGAGAGGCCACAACAGTGAGAGGCCCGCATAACGCAAGAAAAAAAAAAAAAAAAAAAAAGAAGAAAGTGGGTTTCTATTTGAGTAGTTGTGGTTTATTCAATGAGTTTAAAATTTATTGTAGCCTTAATGCACAGAATTAAATGACTTAACAAGCGATTTTCATTAGCAGTAGCTAGAGAATGGGTAACTGACAATTCTGGTGAATGCAGTGGTAGTCCTGCACCTGGTCCTTCTTGTGGCATTTCTAAAAGAGCCCCCAACAAAGATCCACCTTGTCAACTATCAGGTAAAATAAAAGAACATATTCTAGAGGAAACAATACCCACAGGGCTAAAAGAACAAATGCCACCAGAAAGTGTAGAGTCTGCTCTAACAGGGGAAAGTGCAGTGAAACACAATATATTTGTAATAGATGTTCTGTTCCCCTGCACAGAGGTACCTGCTATACTGCCTATCACACTCTAACGAAATATTAGAATACTTTAGTAAGACATGTACAAAGTTTCAAATAAATACATTAAGTTCAAAAAAAGTTGTTGATATTTACTCAAATGCAGGTGTTTCAATATTCACTTACATAACAAATCGCCTGGCCATAGACGTTATTTTCTGCAAAAATCCCCCAGTCAATAGTGTGTTAAAAGCAATAAGAGAAAAGCAACAAATAACATACAAGGAAATCCCCATAAGGTTATCAGCTGGTTTTTCAGCAGAAACTCTGCAGGCCAAAGGGAGCGGCAGGATATATTTAAAGTGATGAAAGGGAAAAACCTACAACCAAGAATATTCTACCCAGCAAGCCTCTCATTCAGATTTGACAGAGAAATCGAAGCATTACAGACAAGCAAAAGCTAAGAAAATTCAACACCACCAAACCAGCTTTACAACAAATGTTAAAGGAACTTCTCTAGGTGGAAAAGAAAAGGCCACACTAGAAACAAGAAGATTACAAATGGGAAAACTGACCAGTAAAGGCAAACATGCAGTAAAGGTAGAAAGTCATCCACATGCAAATAAGATATCAAAACCAGCAGTCATGAGAATAGGAGAGTACAAATTCAGGATATTGGAAATGCATTTGAAAATAAGAGACCAGCAACTTAAAACAATCTTGAGCATATATAGACTGCTATATCAAAACCTCATGGGAACCACAAACTAAAAGTCTACAATACACACACAGAAAAGGAAAAGCAATCTAAACACAACA